CCTCCTGCCTCAGCCTCCCAAGTGCTGGGATTACAGGCATGTACTACCATGCCCAGCTGTTATTAACTTTAAATGTAGCATCTTTATTTTAGATTGTCCATCTTTTTCCTGTTTGGAAAGTATCTTTTTTAGTTTGATAGTAATAGTAAGAAGCTATTATATTTAAATGTCTTCTCTTGAAAAATTAAAAAACTGGTAACCCAAATGTTGATCTAATTTTTTAAAAAACTGTTTTAGTAGTTTGGAATCTAAAAGCTAGGAAACGATTGCAGTATACTATACTACTCAAATGAGTGCCTTTAAATAAAACGGGTTGGCCCTGCCGTTAAAGATACAGCAATTCATTAAAAAGGTAAAACTTGTTAGAACACATCTCCTGAAAGATGAATTTTTGCAGAGACAGTGCAGAAAACTATGTTTTATGAATATGGATACAAAATCTTCAGCAAAATACTAGCAAACTAAATCTGGCAGTGTAACCAGGGATATTATGTATCCTGATCGAGTAAGTGTCCCAGGAATGTTAGGTTCATGAACGTCTAAGCATTCAGATAATACACCTTATCAGAATGAAAGCCAAAACCTACATGATTATCTCAACAGACCCAGAGAAAGCATTTTCACAATCTAATGCCCTTTCATCTTTTTTGGGTGGGGTGGGGTTCTGGTACCGGGAATTGAACTCATGACCTTCCACTTGCCAGGCAGGTGCTGTGCCGCTGAGCTAAGTCCCCAGCCCCCTTTCATCATTTTTTAAGACCCTTAGTAAACTAGGACTAGAAGGGAACCTAACAGAGAAAGACTATACACTTTGCATCGAAGCCCAGGAACAAGAACAGGATACCAGCTGTTGATCTATTCAGTGTTGCACTGGAAGATCTCGCCAGGACAGGTAGGCAAGACAATGAAATAAAAAGGCACCTGGGCTGGAAAGGACGTATGTGCTGCTGAAGCGAGCACAAGGATGGAAAGCAGGAGTAAAACCATCACCATTCTCAGACCACATGAGGTTGTCTATAAAAATAAACCTAAAGAGTTATTAAAGTATTAGAACTAATAAGTTCAACAAGATACAAGGTCACTGGACAAAATCAGTTGCATTTTTATGCACTAGCAATAAGTAACTTGAAAATGAGTATAACTTCAAAAAATAATGCTTAGGGATAAATTTAACAAAAGAGCATAACACACTCAGAAAAACCACATAACACAGTTGAAGAAATTAAAAACCTGAATAAATGGAAAGATTTCGCATGTGTACTGACCTGAGTACTTAGTATTATTAAGATGGCAGTTCTGGCCAGGTATAGTAGCACACACCTGTAATCCCAGCACTCGGGAGGCTGAGGCAGGAGGATCGTTGCAAGTTCAAGACCAGTCTGGGCTACAAAGTGAGCCCAAGGCCAGCCAGAACTGCATAGCGAGACTCTGTCTCAAAAAGACCTCCCCCCAAAAAAGATGACAGTACTGTACTCCCTACATTGATTTACAGATTTATTTTTTATTTTTGTCTTTTTGAGACAGTCTCTGGCTGTGCAGTTCAGGCTGGCTTTGGGCTCACTTTGTACCCCAGGCTGGTCTTGAACTTGCAACAATCCTCCTGCCTCAGCCTCCCAAGTGCTGGGATTATAGACATGTACCACCAAGCCCAGCGATCTACAGATTTAACACAATCCCTCTCAAAATCTCAGTTGGCACTGGGCATAGTAACCACTCCTGTAATCCTAGAATTTAGGAGGATCACCTTGAGTTTGAGACCAACCTAGAGGTACATAGTGAGTTCACAACCAGCCTGAACTGCATAGCAAGACCCTGTCTTAAAAAAACAAAACAACAAAAATTTTCAGTTGGCTTCTTGGTAAAAATTGCTTATCCTATAATTCATAGGGAAATGCAAGGGACTCAGCTTGGGAAAGAACCATCTCAGATCTACTTTCTGAGGTCAGACCACACAGCTGAGCTGCAAGTAATCATCCAAGTGTGGTCTGGCACAAGACAGGCATACAATCAGTGGAATAGCATGGAGAGTTAATAGATCGTGATCAGTTATTTTCCGCCAGGGTGACAAGACAGGACAGTACAGAAAGTGGCGCTGGGACAGCTGGATATCTATAGGGAGAATAATGAAGCTACCTCATACCATATACAAAAAGCTCAAAGTGAACCAAGCACCTAACTATAAGAGCTAAAGCTCTTTAGAAGAAAACAGTGGTTCCTTGCATAGGACATCAAAAGCAAGCAACAGAAAAAAAAAAAAAAAAACAGATTTGGGCTTCATCAAAGTTGAACTTTTGTGTTTTTGTGCTGTAGCTGCTATGGCAAACAATCTGTCAGTTCCTGAAACAGTTAAGCAGGGCTACCATATGATCTAGCAACTCCACTGCTGGTTACATACTCAAGGGAATTGTAAATGTCATGTGCATAGGGTTACTCATAATAGCCAAGAAGTGGAAACAGCCCATGTCCTTCAACTAATGAATGCATAGAGCAGTTCTGGCGTGGCCATACAGTGTAGTGTTATTTCACAATACTAAGAGGTAAAGAATTGACATGTTTTACAGCATGGGTGGTACTTGAAAATGTTATGCTCAGTGAAAGAAGCCGTTTCCATTAATACTGTTTATAGGAGATCTGCAGAGTCGGTCAGCAGAAGAGACAGCAAGTACATTAGTGGGTCTCTGGGTAAGGAGGTGGAGCAAGAGAGGGGTGGGAGGATGGGAAGGTGATGGCTGAAGGGTGCAGAGTTTCATTTTGGGGTGAGGAAAGTGTTCTAAAGTTCATTGTGGGGATGGATGTACAAGTCTAGATGCACTGGAAACAACTGAATTTTACACTTCAGGTGGGTGAATTGGGTGGTATGTGAGTTATGTCTCCGTAAAGCTATTATGAAAAATCAGATCCCAGGATGTAGCTTAGTGGTAGAGCACATGGTTACCAGGCATAAGGCCCACGTTTCAGTCCCCAGCAACACACACACACACACACACACACACACACACACACACACACACAAGCTGATAGGCTTTTGGGGCACACCATGCTTTTTCGCAGTGCTACCCTGCTTTTGTTGGCCATGAACTCTGTTCTGAACTTCCTTTCCTTTCCATGCTAGAGCTAAGCCTGTCTGCGCGGTGCCTGCAGCTAGAGCACAAAAGGAGCGATTTCGCCTCATCCGGGAATCGGAAGCTCTTCTTTGACACCCATGCCTTCGTGTGCTTACTGGAAGGAAACGGTAATCCCCTCTGTCCCTCAGCACCTCAGAAAACATGGTTCCACTTACTTGCTCATATTTCTCTATGACTTTTAAGCCTGCAGGTAACATTTCAGTCAGTCTGTAAGTCTTCATTTTTTTGTTTAAGGACATTTTTGCTTTGTCACTGCAGTGGAGATTTTCTTCTCACAACGTTTCTGTTTGTGTGAGTGAAATGCATTTTTATACCATCACCACGGGAGAGCGGTGTCATCAGTAAAAATGTAGACGATATCAGTAAAGCTTAGGAACAGCTCCTCTGACAAGCGGGTCAGAAGCACAAAAGAGGTAGTTTCATCGCTGTGTGTCCCGTGTGCTTTTAAGAATTTTACAAAAGTGAAATGTTGCTGAGCAGCAGGTATTGATCATTTCCAGCTCACTGTCTCATTTATTGCTGTTGAGTTAATTAATATAAAAGATTGCTCCAGTGTGTATGGCATTCATTCAAAGTGCACTTGAAATGTGGTGAACCTTCTCATACTTAATCATACTTAGCTAAACACACCCGTTATAATTCCGTATTCTCTCATGTGTATAGTCTTAAAATCAGAATTTCAAATTATGCCCTTGACATAAATATATGTGCCTTTATCTCACTGTGTAGTTATTTATCCAGTTGTGGATGTTCATATTTGAAAAGCTAAGTGCTGAATAAGAAATAACGTTCACAGCTTTTCTTGTCAAACTTGAAACAGGGTTTATTTTTCACTAACACTTCTTCCAGCTGAGAATTTTAAAGGAAAGTAGAAATGGGGGATATAAAGTTGTCATGGTAAACAGTTTTCTTTTCTTGATTTCAGACTTGACCCATGGTTTTTTGCATCTTTTAAGACCAGACACGCGAGGCCTCTGCAGGTGTTCGGGTTGGGGTGGAGGGGTGGAGTCTGAGTTGACTGGCTCAGGAGGAGGCCGGAAAGGATCTTAAGGAGAATTTCACCCTTGCTTTATTGAGAGCTGGGCGCATGCCTGTAGTCCCAGTACTTGGGAGGCTGAGGCAGGAGAATCATTGCGAGTTCAGCCTGGGGTACAAAGTGAGCTCAAGGCCAGCCTGAACTGCATAGCAAGACCCTGTCTCAAAAAGACCAAAAAAAAAAGAAAAAAAGAAGAGAGAGCTGGGAGCCATGTCTCATGATGAGCACAGCTCCTAACTCTCTGGTCTTACCCGCTGCTTGCGCCCTATTCTCTCACTCCTACACCTCAGAGCTCAATAGGTTTTAGGGCTTAAATTCTCATTTTTCTTACCTCTTTCTCCTTTCTTGGGTGGTTATAACCGGTATGCCTTTGGAGCTTATCACCTGCATAAATCTCTCCCTCCCTCCTGCTCTCTTTCTGTTTCTTTTCTTATTTTTGCTGTACTGGAATCAAACTCAGGGTGTTCAAACTGAGGCAGTACACTGGCCCTTTTGTGAGACGGTCTCACCAAGTTGCCCAGGCTGAGTCCCGATTTGAGATCCTCCTGCGTCAGCCTTCTTTTTTTAAAAAAATTAGACTTACGTTTTTCAGCTAATTTATAAAAACAAAAAATTTACATATTAAATAGGACATGTACTTTTTCTTATAATTGTTAAGCCTGATTATGTTAAACCATGAGTTTTTTGGGTTGTATTATTTTGTTTTGCTCTTTTTGATTTTTGTTTTTTTTTTTTTCCGGTATCAGGAATGGAACTCAGGACCTTGCGCTTGCCAGGCAGGCACTGTGCCGCTGAGCTAAATGCCCAGCCCCTGTTTTGGTCTTTTTGAGACAGGGTCTTGCTATGCAGTTCAGGCTGGCCTTGAGCTCACTTTGTACCCCAGGCTTGTCTTAAACTTACAACAATCCTCTTGCCTCAGCCTCCCAAGTGCGGGGATTTACAGGCGTGCACCACCACACCTGGCTCCATGAGCTTTTTTTAATAAAAATTTAAAATTCACGAAAGTCATGTTCATTTTCTAGATATTAGGAAAGCAGAAAGCAGAACCTCAGAACCTAACACCCCAGAGCTGAACAATAGCGCGGTCGTTTCTGGCGATTTTTCCTGGATGTGCATAACACACATTTTGACAAAGTAAAGGACTTTGAATGAAGGGATGGGAGTAGATCTTTGGATATCCTTCTCTTCTTTAAATCTGTGCCTTTGTTAAGTTAGTCCTATGCCTAATCTCATCCAAACAAATTATATTACTTATTGATTCAAACAAATATATCATTTAATTAATCAGAAGAATCAGTAGGCTCTGTGAAGTTCTTGTAAATGGAAGCATTTAATGGAAAGAATTACTTTTCAGGGACTGAGTTTTAAGCATTGTACTAGAACGTCTAATGTGAGATACAAATTATATATAGTCACTAAAAACAGTAATAACACTGAGTTGAATCTCAGTTCACCATCATTGTTTTTTTTTTTTAATTTTTTTCTGTTACCGGGAATTGAACTCATGACCTAGTGCTTGCTAGGCAGGCGCTGTGCCACTGCGCTAAATCCCCAGCCCCACCGTCATTGTTAAGTATTAAAAAATACCTTTTTTCCCCAATTTTGGCCCTCCAGACTACTGACTGAAGAAAATTGTGGAGGGAAAATGAAAGAATTGGTTATGACTTCTAGCATTAAATCAGTTAACAGCTAGATTACTATCTATAGTCAATAATAGTCAATAATGTGACTAATTTATGTTGGGAATAAAATAATGATGCTTTCCTATTTAAGAAAATTATTTTTAATGACATGCATTTTAAATTAAGTATCTTGTCCACTGTAGAAAATGTACCCACTTGAGAGAATACAAAAAAGGAAACAAAAATCATGATGAGTCTGTTAAATACAGAGGCAGGCTGGGTGTGTAGCTCGGCGGTAGAGCGTGTGCAGGAAGCCCTGCTTCCATCCCCAGTGGTCCCCAAGAGAAGTACGACAGGAGCAATCTTTGCTCTATAATTTTGGGTCTAGCTCTTGGTTTTCACTTGACATTGAATTGCAGTCATTCCCTGTGGTGGTAAACATCCTTTGAAGATGAGATTTTGGACAGCTAGGCAGGGCATTCAGGATCATCATCAGCCCAGCCTCCTCACCGTCTGGGGAGCCAGAGGGGGCAGCCCGGTCAGGGTGACAGGCCCATCCCCCTGTGACTCGAGTCTCCGCACCTTCTTGTCACACTGTGCTTTCCCCGATTTCTGACCTTAGACCATCCTCAGAGTGTAAGAATGTGTAAGGTTTTTTCCATGTGTTTTGTTTTCCCTCTGAGAACCGCATTTCTTCTGAGTGTGGTTGTGTTTGTGTGCTTGCTCAGGGTTTACAACTCAACAAGCAGAAATCATTGTGTCTGCATTAGTCAAGATCACGGAGGCCAACACGGACATCGTCTACAAAGACATGGTCACCAAGGTGCAGCAGGTTAGCATGAATTTGAAATCTGAGCAAAAGGTATTGATTGTAGTAAATATGAATATAAGTTTTGGATAATATGTGACTGAAAAGTATGTCATCATTTCAGCCACCGTTAAGGGGCAAACACAGTCATAGTATAAAAAGTATTCGCAGCTGCTTAGTCAGCTGTGATGGACTCATCGTACTTGACAGTTCATTGGCTTCAGCCCTGACTTCCGGCAATGACGTACTTGGTAAGTGCGGAAGCGGCTGGAGTTGTAGTATGACGTCATGCTCTTGTGCTCCGGACCAGCCCCACTGCGAATGACTCGTTCAGTAGCGATGCTCATTTGTGTGTCTGCTCTTTTCATTTTTTCATTTCCCAAGGGAGGGTGACGTTACTGAGCCGCCTCCCTTGTCCACATTCTTCTAGTTTCTCCTTAAGATGCTAGCACACAGAGACGGCAGGGGGTAGATTTCTAGGCTGTTATATTATTTTCTTTGTTTCTCTTTTTCTAGGAGATCACTCTTCAGCAAATAATGTCACAGATTGCAAACGTGAAAAAGGATATGATTATTTTGGAGAAGAGCGAATTTTCAGCCCTCAGAGCAGAAAATGAGGTAACACACAGAGCCATTTATCAAATTTGTTTTGTTGGGACCGTGTGAGATGATGTCATGTACATGCGTAGAAGGGGACAAGTAGGTGTCCGGCTCAGTGCACCTCCAAGTGCCCGCCACTGATCAGGGCAAGAGCCAGAGCGAAGGCAGCGCCCAGAGGCTGCCCCCTTCCACCGCCCACCACCGTCCGGCCTGTGACACCCTTACCTGGTGTTTGCTGCTGTAGAACTTCCTGTGATGGGCGCGTACAGAGTGCCTGGCGACACTGGGCCTTTCTTCCTTTGTCTGCAGTGGTCAGTGAATGTGCCGTGTATTCTAACGTGCTGTCACTAGGGCAGGTGAGTCAGTGCTGCTGCATGGTATTGCTTTCCTTTTTTTTTCCAGTGCCAGGAATCAAACTCACGACCTCGCGCTTGCCAGGCAGGTGCTGTGCCGCTGAGCTAAATCCCCAGCCTCTGCTTTCCTTTTTTAAAGGGTGGCATAGAGCATTATGTATGTGCTTTTCTCTATACAGCCTTTCACTTTCAGTCCTACTTAGAGTTTCACATGGGAAGGTTATTTAGTGCTTGTTGACGGTAGCTTCATAGTAAACTTTGTAAAAAAAAAAAATTGACCTCTAAATTGTCCTTGAAATCAGCTATTTGAGGGCAGAATTTGTTGCAATAAAATTCGAAGGAGGTATTAAAGAAAGCAGGGTTGCTGAAAGCAAACGTGTGTTAAAAAAACACTTGTGTCACTAGTTTTATGTAACCTTTAGTATGAACTAAAACTAATTTCAGGGGCTACACACGCATTCTAGTATGGTTGTCAGCTTTTTTTTTTTTTTTTTGTCTTTTTGAGACAGGGTCTTGCTATGCAGTTCAGGCTGGCTGGCCTTGAGCTCACTTTGTTGCCCAGGCTGGTCTCGAACTCACAACGATCCTCCTGCCTCAGTCTCCCGAGTTCTGGGATTGCAGGCGTGTGCCACCATGCCCAGCCTCGGTTGTCAGCTTTGTACCTTAAATGTATTCATGTGTGTGATGAGTGAGGGAAGAAGTGGAACTTTCACATAGGACTTGTTGATCAAGTTTTGTATTTTTCTTCTTTCTTAACATATCCTTGTTTCTTTCTAAATGTTTTTAGAAAACAAAGCTTGAACTACATCAGTTAAAACAACAAGTAACGGTAAGAATCTCTTTCCGGTTTGCTGGTTTGTTTGAAATAACATGTTAATACGTATGTCAGAAACACATTACATGCTCTTTAAAGCTTCATTTTCTCATTCTTTGTCACGTGTGTGTAATATGCCTCAAAAGTACACGATGAATAAATTACCAGTGTCTAACTAAGTTCATTAAGAAAATTGCTTTCTAGGAGGAATTAAATCATTTTAAAATCAAAATATTTCCAAAATAGCCACATGGAACCCTTAGATGCTCTTAGAATTACATGTGATTTTTAAAGGTGGTATTTTTGAAATAGGTCAGGTTTTTGGTAGAAAGGATGATTAGTGTTTGGAAGGAAAAGAGTTTGGTAAGTTTCTGAGAGAAGGCCTTTATTGAAACCATAGTGTAATATTTTCCTTCTTTGAACCCATCTTTGCTTTCCAAGGAACTGCTTTAATTATAAATTCCAAAAAGGAAAATATATGGGACACTTGAGGTTGAAAGCAGCTAATTGGAAGCCTGAGGCAGGAGGGTCATGTGAGCCCAGGGATGTGAGGCCAGCTTGAGCAATAAAGCGAAATAACACCTCAAAACAACAAAAACCCAATAGCCAAAAGCATTTAGATGGATGGATGGATGGATGGATGGATGGATGGATAGATAGATAGATAGATAGATAGATAGATAGATAGATAGATAGATAGATAAACTGGGAAGCCCTAACACAGAGCTGGCTGCAGGTGTGGCTTGTCCAGGGTCTCTGATCTCACCGGGCCCTGGCTTCCTTTCCCTGGCGCCTGGCTGCACCCTCGCTTCAGTGGGCCCCCTTAGCGCAGAGACACTGGGTGATCCCAGCGCCGCAGCCTTAGCAGCTTTCCGTTTCTGACTCTGGATTTCTCTCTTTCTCTGTCATTTGCCTTCCTACTAGGATGAAGTGATCAAAGTCCGAACAGATACCAAGTTAGACTTCAATCTAGAAAAGAGCAGAGTAAAAGAGTTGGTATGTTCCTTTGTTGAAATCGATTCTCCTTTCATTTCTTTTTAGGATGGAATGCTTGGGTAAATCCGGTTCTATATACAAGTCATAAGTACTGTTGAATTTTTAGCTACTTAATCAGTATACACACAGATTTTTGAATTTCAGTATTGGGGGGATTAGGGCTTATATTTGATGCTTTCAAAAGTAACACTAAAATTAAAATCTTGGTCATATAGTGTTTGGCTCTTTGTTTCAAAGATACTAGATTATATGTTACATAGACATTGATAAAGAAATTAAACTCAATCTTGAGCTACTTAATACCGATTTAAATCTCCACATGCTCTAATTCTGCAAAAGATGATTGCCCAGATGGGTTTTATTAGGTTATTACTATGAAATATTAGGTTATTAATATGAAATAGTACATAATATTAAATTAGACACTGAAATTTAAGGTTAAAACCTACTTCTATGTTGGTTTTTTTGAGGAGGTTTTTTGTTTGTTTTGGGGTTCTTTGGTTACATTTTTTGGTGCCTATGGATGAAACCCAGGGCTGCACTCTTCCATGGGGCTATATACCCACCTCCATATGTTGTCTATAAATACAACAAGAAGTTATATGTTTCCATAAAGATATATATTGGTGGTGCATGCTGTAATCCTGGCACTTGGGAGGCTGAGGCAGGAGGATCGCCACAAGTTTGAGGCCAGCCTGACCTACATAGTGAGTTTGAGGCCATTCTGAACTACATAGTGAGACCCTGTCTCAAAAACAAAACAAGCAAAACAAAAATAAGTGTTGGGTGGCACTAGTGATTTCTGACCTGTCTGGATGTTCATCTCTCTTCTAGCTTAATCTTTCTTCAGATACGCTGACCCTAGTGAGACAACTTCCTTATTCTTAGTATAATGACAGACAGGGCCTGTGGGGCATTTTTCATAGCTTGAACTCACCACTGTTCGTCTTTTTCACAGTTTGCCTTTAGTCAAAATGTTCTCTAAGCCATAACTGAGGCTAACACTGAAACGCAAGTATGTAATTGCATTTTGGCCCTGCTGCTGCCTTTGGAGGTCACGTTGAGCTTCATTGTAAAAGTTATTATTATGCCCATATTACTCATCTTTCTAGTCTTCCTGCAGTCTTCAGCCGGGAAGATTAAATCAGCCGGTATTATTAAAACACTTCGTGGCCACAAGCCTATAATTAGTATCTAAAAGACAACAAACTCTGGCTACTCGTTTCCTTTCTGGTTGTTTTTAGCACTGTGAGTTCACTTGGTTCAGGAGGGTGGCCGTGCGCCTGTGGCTAACCAAGCTGGAAGAATACAGCGAGGAGGCTGGGAGACGCGGCGCGCGAGTGCAGATGAAGCCCGTGCGTTTGCGGGGCACGCCGACCCAGCTCGTCGTTCGCTCGCTCGGTTTAATCCCAGTGCCCACTGCTGATGGCTGACTTGGACTTAGCGTCTGCAGAGCTGCTCCAAACCCTTTCACTGACCTAGCTGGGCCGGTGTTCCCTGCAGTCCTGCGCTGAGAACGCTCAGAAGCATAGGGCAGTGGCTGGGGCTTGGCACACTGAGAGTGTGTGTTGTAGGCAGTGACGAAGCCCAGTTATTGAGCCTCTC